TGTGATCATGAGAAAATGCTGAAAGGGAGAATTTTAGTCATGGGTTCCCTCTGAGTTATTGAAGTTCAGAAAGGCCTTTAGCTGTGTAATGATGTGCAAATCAGTCCACATTCCACGGTGGCTCAACAGATGAACTATGTCAATGGTGAAATGTTGTCTTTATAATGTCTGCTGATACCTCTATTTGAGAGAACCAGCTGTTGGTCCTTTATACTGCTGTCCATTTAGAAATCTGAGCAATAAAGTAATACTTAATACTTATTGCATATTCATTTACCCCCCTAGCTACATATTAGGGTAAACATGTTAAATTTTAGATAAAAGGCAGTATTAAATATATGTGTCTCTGGCACATGCAAGTGAGTGAAACTTTCATACAGTTGTATATCAAACTGTACAGAGATGACTTCAGACTAAAAAGATTGTGGAACAATTTTGTTTGATTAAGGAGACATAAAACTAGATTGTCATAAAGAATACTAGGATTACAGACTTCTATAAAAAGACATGCTCACTACATCTATTCATGTGGGTAAAGAATAGTATAGTTACCAGAAAAGGAAAAGTTATGTATTCAGCAAAACCAAAGATATTTGATGTTATTTTTATGACAATATGCAAGTCTTGAAATAAGTATTCATGTATTTTCAATGTTGTTTATATTATGAAATTAAAATAGTCCTAATTACCATTGCAAAAATCCTTGGGATAATATATGATGAATTCTAACATGTTTCGCTCATGACCTCTTTTGATTTTTTACAATTATTTTACTGGGTAGTTTTGTGTAGCATGTGTTTGCATTTTATAGACTTTAATTTTTAGAGCACTTTTAAGTTCACAGCAAAATTAAGGGGTAAGTACAGAGTTCCAATATACTCCCTGCCCCCACATGGGCTCAGCCACTATCAACATCCCACATCTGGTATAATCGATCAATCAACATTGACATACGATTATCACCCAGAGTCCACAGTTTACATTAAGGTTCACTCAGTATTGTACATTACATGGGTTTTGACAAATGCATAATGACATGATTCCACCACTGCAGTACCATACAGAGTAGTTTCATTGCCCTAGAAATCTTCTATGCTCCACCTATTCATCTCTCCTTCTCGCAGTCCCAGGCAAACACTATCTTTTTACTGTCTCCATCAGATTGCCTTTTCCAAAATGTCTCAGGGTTGGAATCAAACAACATTTAGACTTTTTGGTTGGTGTCCTTCACTTAGTAATATGCATTTAAGTTTCCTTCAAGTCATCCCATGGCTTGATAATTCATTTATTTTTAGTCCTGAGTAATATTCTATTGTCTGGATGTACCACAATTTATTTATCTACTTACCTACTGAGGACATCTTGGTTACTTCCAAGTTTGGGAAATTACGAATAAAATTGGCAGACATAGCTTTCAACTCCTTTGGGTAAATACCAAGGAGCACAATTGCTGGATCATTTAGTTTTGTGAGAAACTGCCAAACTGTCTTCCAAAGTGGCATTCCCACCAACAGTGATGATGGTTCCGAGTGCCCTATGTCCTTATCAGCATTTGGTATTACCAGTGTTTTGGATTTTGGCTGTTCTAATAGGAGTGTAGTGATACTTCATTTTAATTTGTAATTTTGATAGTTTTAATATAGTCCTCACATAAATGAGTTGAGGCTGCAGAAAATTAAATAAGTTACCCATGATTCTACAGCTACTGGGTAGCAGATTCAAACTTACTTCTTAAGACTCCAAAGCCCATGTGCTTTTTGCACTGTGGTTGTCTTATAGCTAGACAAGAAAAGAATTTAAATTCATACATGTGGCACATCAGCGGTTAGTTTCCAGTCACATTTATTGCTTGTCTTAATTTAGTTTTATCCAGAAGAAGACCGTGACACCAGGAAATATTGGGGGGTCACAGGGAAATGAAGGAAGGAAAGACAACCAATGAAGGATCTATTTGAATGCAGATATCACTGTGACCAAGTATAGCTTGGTCATACAGGGGAACTTCGGAAAATGGTGCTAAATATTATTCCTAATGTAATGTGTGGCGTTAGTACATCTTCTACTGTTTGAGACTGGCCCAGGACAAAGAATGTATAAAAATTAAAAGTACTAAGAAACTTTTATAGAAATTTGACATTTTAGTGATACCCATTTTTTCCAGTAATTCATTTTACTTTATGTTATTTAAGTATCAATCCATGATAGATTGAAAATTAAAAACTAGTTCAAAAATAGTGTAGAACACAAGGCCTAAAGTGACTTCATACAAGAAACAGGGAGCTGGGGTATTTATACCTCACTTCCTATCTGGTTGGTGCACAGTTAAGACAGCACCCGGGAATTTTGTTCATTCTCTAGCACTTCTAGCACACAGACTTCCAGTTGTGTGCGATGAAGTGGTGAGCCAGGGCAAACATCATCTTTCTAATGATGAGATAAAGGCTAAGCAAGCATTAGTTTCCTGCATGCTATAAAAGGATAACACCATACACAGGCTCTGTGCATAGGATTAGACTATGCATGGATAAAATGTTTCATTCAAAAGTACCCATATTTTCTACCAAGAAAGCCAAAGACAAGAGCCCTCCTCTCCTTTTCCCACACCCAGAAAGCCAGTGTACTAACATGTGATGAAAATTCTGAAAATCAGATATTCCCAACAAGGATTTTGAATCTTGAGCAAGTGATCCAAAGCAAAGGGAGGATTCAAAGTTGTTCTTAAGAGTTAGACACTTCCTGCTACTGCTTATGCCTCCGTGTTTTCTGGCCTTGGTTAGTCTTAGTCTCCCAGCTTCCTGCTGATTCTGTGAGCTCCCAATTTTCTTTCAATAATTTCCTTTTTTTTTTTTTTTTTTTGAGACAGAGTGTCACTTTGTCACCCAGGCTGGTGTACAGTGGTGTAATTTCAGGTCATCGCAACCTCCACCTCCGGGGTTTAAGCAATTCTCATGCCTCAGCCTCCCGCATAGCTGGGACTGCAGGCATACGCCACCATGCCAGGCTAATTTTTACATTTTTAGTAGAGACGGGTTTTGCCATGTTGGCCAGGCTGGTCTCGAACTCCTGACCTCAGGTGACTCTCCTGCCTTGGTCTCCAAAAGTGCTGGGATTACAGGTGTGAGCCACCACACCTGGCCAATAATTTCCTTTTTTACTTAGAATAGCCACAATCTGACTCTTTACTTGAAACTAAAAGTCATGACAATATGAGATGATTGAGAAGTATCAGAGCTCTGATTTCTGCCTGCTCACGAATTCCCTTGGAAAAGTGAGGTTGGAAAAAAAAAGAAAAAAAGAAAGAAAGAAAGAAAGAAAGAAAGAAAGAAAGAAAGAAAGAAAGAAAGAAAGAAAGAAAGAAAGAAAGAAAGAGAAAAAGTGAGGTTGGTTTCTTTGCCAATGTTTGTCTCAGTTTCCACATTTGTAAAATGGGGCTAGCTCTGCAGCATGCTTCAAGGAAGATTAATCTGTGAGATGTTCTCTGAATAAAGGGTTCTTCCTTTGGAGAATCTAATGGCATGCTGGTCTATTGAGTTTCTGGAAATTCCTCTAGTAAAGGATTTAATTTGACTTTAATTCAGCATTTCCCAAGCTTAATCATGGAAGTCTTGTTTCAGAAAACATTAATATCTCACTGATTGAGTCATCCATAAACTATCTTGGCAAAAGACATTGGCTCCAGCAGTTCATTTTCCTTTGAATTTGCACCTGACACTGATCTTTGTTATTAAACACTCATGAGGCCTTTAAGAAGTCTCTGCATTAACCCATTAAAGTAGGAGGTTCTTAAACTTCAGAGCATATAAAAACCATTTGAGGGCCTTGGTATAATGCAGATTGCCGAGCACCATACAAGATCTACTAATTCAGAATCTCCTGGAATAGAGACAAGGAATTAGAACTCAGAATTACTCTATGGGGGATTGTGTTGTATGCAGTCTTCAGTCTACAGTATGAGAAACACTGTCTTATTAACAATTCAGTGAAAAATATCTTCAAGTAACTTATGTACTTTATCATTAGAAGAAGCCAGAGGTCATAGTCACAACAATATATCTCACTGGTCTGACCATTAATCATCTTCTGAGATGTCTCAGACAAGCTCATAGATAACTTGTGAATATCCACCCAAAACATACTGAATGGCTCTGATCCCAACTTCAAACATTTTAAACACACTAAATTTCAAATGTGTCTGTACGTGCCACTGTGAGATCAATAATTTGGTCAAATCTAGTTAACATGTTAATAGCCACAGCTGTATGTGGTGTCTTACACCTATAATCCCAGCTACACAGAAGGTTGAGGTGGGAGGATAGCTTGAGTTCAAGCTTGAACCAGGAGGTCAAGGCCAGTTTGGGCAACATAGTGAGATAGCAAGATCCTTTCTTAAAAAACAGTCTGAATGTCTCCCTCACTCCTGCTACCTATCTATAGCTTATTCATTCTTACCATAAACTGACTTAGTGAGAAATCAAGGTTAAAGGAGTAGGGAAGAAATTTAAGTCATCTCATTTTATGACCTTTTAGTAACTCAGCTCAAAGACTCTAATGATAGGAAGCCTGGAATGAATAACTAAAATGTTATTTTTAGACTATCTGTGAATTTCGTTTCCTCTCATTACCACAAATGATGAAAAATTAGCTGTCAGAAATTTCAAAGCAAGATAGCCAAACATGATAGAAAAACAAATTAATTAAGTCACCATCTTCTGAAACAATTTTCCTTTATTAGAATTCTTCAGGTAATACGACGAAGATAACAATACTGCATTTCTTTAAAATGTGCTGTACATTTCCTTATAGGAAAAAGGATGAGTTGTGGTGATCAGTGACATTTATTGGAAACAAGTAAACTTTTTGTTCCTGGGTCACTAGTTGTATTTACTTTAAGAAAACCCTAAAGATGATTTGCAGTCTTTCAGGAGAATTAACTTTTATGTTTACAGCCCAAAATGTGCAGATAACTTTTTTGTAAATAACTGGCAGGGGTCAGTCTCACATCTAGGATGTTTCATTTTATTTTATTTCAACAACCAGAGTTACAGCTTCTTTACAACTGAGAAGTGGTAATAAATGGTATTGTGCTTCTTCTTCAACAACTCCATAGCACTGGCACCTGACATATATTTGCATGAATTTCACGTAACAAAATGTAGAAATCTTTCTTTCTAAAGGGCTTCAAAATTTCCCGAAACAGACTTCTGAACTTCATTTTATTCCTCTTGCTACATGGTTTTTCTGGATTAGTATATATAATATATCAACACCTAAAAATATAGTTACAAAAATTAGTGCATACCTCATCAATTTCATAAAGTTACATCCTTTCTTGTTTGCATACATTTATATGTTATTTGTTACTGTAACTGCCACTTACAACCCAGCATCAGGAGTTGTATTTTAGAATATCATGGAATGGTGATGTGATAGACACTTTAAAGTGTACTGACGTAAACTTTACGTCAATCCTTACAGGAATGAGGGATTTAATTTTTTTTTTAACTGGAGCACTGCACATCTCAAGGGTGGCTGCATTCAGTAGGTCTGTGTCATAACCCCTGGAAAACACACAGGCTGCCCAATGGAAGAGTCACTAATCAGATATTGACTATGATACTTTTGTGTTCAAATTTTCAAGTCCTCACACCCTTCCTAACTAATGTGTAGGTCTTTCCTTTAGGACAACCAAAAAACAAAACTATAACTGTTCAAACTTGGAACTAAGAAAATAAAAATTAAAGCGGAGCTGGATTTATTTCTATTTATTTAGAGTACATCACCTGTAGTAGAATTATGTTGCTAAGGTTGGGATCACGGCTTTGGTCTCTCGAAGGGACCTGCTTTGTAGATCCAGGGCGCGTTTAATTTTCTAGCTGGGTTCCTGGTTTGCTTAACTAATTCTGTGCACCTCGCTGTGCAGTCCACACCTGAAAGGGGGAGTTTCGATGTTGTGGTTTATGAACCAGGTACTTTCCATTCACTCAGTCAACAGAAAGAAAAAGAGAGAGAGAGCACGCCTCCTACCTTTTTTTTTTTTTTTAACTACAAATAAGGAGACGGAAACTATTAAATAAGAAGGGGGGAAACTCCCGCATATTTCACGTTGACCTGGCTGGACTGGTCTGTTGCCTGTAAGAGGCGGGTGTTGTATTAAAATAAGAGGTCAAACTTCTGGACTGGGAATCACTCCTGCCCCTAGAGGGAAAAGAGAACCATCACAGTGTTGAACTGGAAACACTGCCTCGTTTCCAATGCGGGGGACTGAGTTCCCTCCCTCGACTTAGAGTGGTAATGACAGGACCCGAGGAGGCGCGCTGCTTCCCGGACAGTTGCCCAGCATAACACCCGCATCCTACTTGCACCTAAATTTCTGAGCTGCAAGCAGGCAGAAACGCCTCCCACCTTCTCTCCTTAGCTCCCCTCTCCCCACTTAGCTGCTGTCTGTAACTTCTTTGTTCCGTTTACTGGGAAGGTGACGCTTAAGATCAAAAGACCCACTGTAACTTGCAAAAGCCCAGAGCCACCACCAGACGCTGGGGAAAAACAGGGCTGTCCAGCCCAGGGTTAAGGTTTTGAGTAGGGAAGGAGCAGCGAGAAATCTCGGCCAGTCGCTCCGGGAACAGCCCCTGCAGACTGGTCCAACTCTCCAAAGGCTAGGGAGACCGGGGCAGCCTTGTAGTGGGGCAGAGGACGAGCTCCTAACTGCAAGCAAAGTGCTGAGTAGAGGGCGTTGGGGGCAGGGGCGGTCCCTTGACTCCACTTTGTATGCAGCAGCTGCGGGGCAGTGAGTATCTCCGAACAAAGCGGCGAGCAGCGCGGGGGTGAGAGATTGGGGTTTGCTCGCAGCTGCTGCTGGCGCTGAGCGAGTCTCCCACCACCCCCGCGAGCGTTGGGGTGCAAGGATTCGGGGGAGGAGGGAGAAGGGAACGAGGCGTGCCATTCCTGTTGCGCGGCTACGCTTCAGGAGTTCTTGTGAACGATGGGAATGGCAACTATCAGAGCCAAGGGGGGAAAAAAAGAGCTGGAGTGAGCAAAACAAAGAGCGAGTGTGGGCCGTGGTGACTTCATGCCTCACCAATGTCCCGCCCACGCTGCTCCGAGCTGTTACTGCTGCTCCTGCCCGGGCTGCAGCCGCGCCTGCGGGCAGCCGAGCCGAGGCGCTCCGGTAGCGTGGGGAGGTTTCCTAGCAACTCTCTGCCCTGAGTATACCGGGCTACCCGCAGGTCTGAAGCCCCCCGGGGGGCCAGAGCAGGACCACCCCTCTCCCGCCCATCGCCGCCCTCGCCTCTCTTGCATCCTCGCCGTGTGCACCCCAGAGCGCGCCAGCAACTCGGGCTCTGGACTGCGGGACGCCTGAGCCGCGCACTGGGGCCGACAGGACAAGGGCAAGCAGCCCCCGCCCCGCGTAGCCGGGCTCCGGCACCCAGCGGAACCTCCCCTCCTGCGCTCGCAGCCGCGGGCCCCACTCCCCGCCAGGCAGGGAGCGGCGATGCCTCGCTCTGTGCCTGCGGGAGTCGGCGGGTGCTTCTAGGGAGCTCCCAGAGTCGCCTCCCCCTGTTGCTGGCATCCCGAGCTTCCTCCCTCGCCAGCCAGGACGCTGCCGACTTGTCTTTGCCCGCTGCTCCGCAGGCAAGGCTGCAAAGCTGCAGCTAGTGAAGTTGGCCTCCCTGCCCACCTGTGGAAGAAACTGCGCTGATTGATGCGCCATCGACTTTTTTCCCCTCGACCTCGCCGGCGTCCCCTCCCACAGATCCAGCATCACCCAGTGAATGTACATTAGGGTGGTTTCCCCCCCAGCTTTGGGCTTTGTTTGGGTTTGATTGTGTTTGGCTCTTCGCTAAGCTGATTTATGCAGCAGAAGCCCCACCGGCTGGAGAGAAACAAAAGCTCTTTTCTTTGTCCCGGACCAGGCTGCGGAGCCCTTGCAGAGCCCTCTCTCCAATCGCCGCCGGGGCCCTTGGCCGTCGAAGGAGGTGCTTCTCGCGGAGACCGCGGGACCCACCGTGCCAAGCCGGGAGGGCCGCAGGGGCCCTGAGATGCCGAGCGGTGCCCGGGCCCGCTTACCTGCACCGCTTGCTCCGAGCCGCGGGGTCAGCCTGCTAGGCCTGCGGAAAACGTCCTAGCGACACTCGGCCCGCGGGCCCCGAGGTGCGCCTGGGAGGCGCGAGCGCGCGTCCGGAAAGCAGCCAGGCGGCGGGCGCGGGGCGGGCTGTTTTGCATTATGTGCGGCTCGGCCCTGGCTTTTTTTACCGCTGCATTTGTCTGCCTGCAAAACGACCGGCGAGGTCCCGCCTCGTTCCTCTGGGCAGCCTGGGTACTTTCACTTGTTCTTGGACTGGGCCAAGGTGGTAAGTTGTTTTGTTTTGTTTTCTTCTTTTCCTCAAAGGTCTTGGGCTGGCACGAAGAGCTGCCCAGCCAGAGCATCCCGGCCAGGTAAGTTGCGGTCATCAGAGAACTTCAAGAGGGCGGGTGCGTGGCAGCGTCCTCTAGCACAGATGGCCTCTAGGCCAGGTGTCAAGCATTTCTGCCCTGGAGCGACAGCAAGGACTAATTATCAGAGGAGGCACTGTGTGTTACTCCTAGGTGTTGAGGAAGCCCTAACAGAAAGGAATTTTGGAAGACAGGGTGTCCTGTTTACAGAAGTCATTTAGGGGCCCTGGTCCATTCTTAAGGGCATCGTCTGTACAGAATATTCTCCCCATCTTTCTAACATTTGGGTCCACTAACGACTAACTTGCCTTTAACTCGAGGCTGTAGATAAGTTGGTTATAATGGGAGTAGTCTTCAATTTTTGAGTCCAGAAAAGGACAGCATACGAGTTTCTACTATCATTAGTGCTCAATCTGAATGAGTCACCCACACTGGAGGGATATTCATGCTTTAAGTCACCATCCTTTCAGCTTAAAAAAAAATACTATCTAATTGATCCCTCACAGAGCCATTTGTACCCATCTCTGGTACAGAGAAGCAGAAAGAACTCTGGACCAGGATTGACAGCTTTCTGTCCAGGCAAACCATTTATGTCAGAGCTACCTTGATGTGGAGAGGTTAACTCTTTATGAAATTCATTGTCCTCGTCTGTAAAACGAGGTTAATAATACCTGCCTTCTCTAAATCACAAAGGGAAGTTCAAGTCAAATAGTACATGAGAAGGTGTTTCAGGACTTTTGATTTATGAGACAAAATCAAATGTAAGGTGGTATACCGGATTGGATTGTTGGAAAATTATACAACTAAGTAATAGGACGAATCATGAGTTTAGAATGAGTTCTTAATGGTTTTCAATATAGACCCAACATTTATTTTTGCCAATGCAGTGACTATTGTCATACTTTCTTTTTTTTTTTTTTTTTAATTTCACTTTTTGTCTGTTTGGTCACCAAGTCCTTAAATTATATTAGATCCTTTCTCTGACCTCTCAGGCTCAAGGAGAGTTGAATTAATAGTTGTAATTGTTTTGTAGGTTAAAATTTACTCCTATACTTTGATGTGCCAAGTTTTTGCCTGAAGCTAATTAAAGCAGCCAAGTCATAACCTTATAAGTAGGCTCTCTCTCTATATATATATATATAAAAACATTTGGAAACATCCAGCTGTCTTTAGTAAATTGTTGCATATATAGTTTTCTAATATTTGTTTCAGGGAGATTTGCTCAGTTATCTGAAATGGAGAAATTAGAGTAAATCTCTTGATCTTGTGGTTATTTTTTGGCTTGTTTGTTGATTTCAAAATAGTGAAAAGGCAAAGGAAAAAGTAACATTCATTATCAGTTATCTCTTAAATGGAAGAAGCATGCATTTGTTGCAACAAATTTTCCACAAAGCATAATTTCATCCTGTTTCAATAAGTAATAAAGTCCTTTTCTAGATTTAGCAAACACACACACACACTAGTAAAATGACCAAAATTTGTGTTATAACAGTATATTTTGTTCCCAATGTATAGACAAAGGAAAAAGTCTCACTTGCCTCTAAAATTTACTATTTATAGTACATTTTAAAAAAAACATTAACTGTGCTTATAAACATTAGTCAGGCTCTTGTGAAAAAGCATTGTATTTCTACCCAGCGTCTAAAACTGATTTGAAGGAAATATTATGAATGGGCCTCCTTGCACCTGCAGACCTGAAAAGGGAATGCTTATCTGAAATCAGAACAAGGCATCCTTTTCCCAGTCTCTGTCAATATACAAAGGTTTCTGATGTATACTGATTTGCATGGCAGTTAAAAACATGCAAAAAATGTAAATTATAGCCAGTATAACTCAGAAAATTAGAGATCAGCATAAACTGCTGTACTTTTGTGATATAGCTACAAGTCTCAAATTATATGTCTTTACAATGCAAATTAGATGCTTAAAGCAGAATAGAAATTTAGGTATCAGTTACAAAGGAAATCTTGTTCCCTTGCTCAGTAGTTTACACGAGGAAAATGTTGAGGGCAATAAAGCCATACAAAAGAGACCAGAAGCTGCATAAGACCAGCATAACTTTGAGTTTAATTTTTAAAGCAGAGTTTACAGGTCTCCAACACATAGTTTATTTTTAATAACAAATATATAGTGAGCAGTGGGAGATGTTATTAATCAAATCCAAAGATTTCTGATGTAGAAAAAATTATTGCAGTTTGTTTTTTAACTATCTCTGGTGGAAATTACCCATAGCTAGAGAAATAATAGCACTATAAAATGGTTAATAAATAACCAGAAAACATAAAGTATATCTAGTGATTAATATTTGAAGAGTTAATGTAGCAACATTGTTTCCACATTTACTTATTTTAAAAGATAAAGAACTTTCATTACCTACATTTTTATATAGCAATATAAGTGTAACAAATTTCAGATATCACAGTTTCTTTTTAAAAAGTGGTAACTATTATTATAATGAAATTTCACCTTCTGTTAATTCAACTATCAATTATTTATTCTTTTCAACAACAACCAACTAGATTAACATTATTCTGTGACCGTAGCATTACTTCCCCTCAAAACGTTGCATAGCATAAGTGTTCCCAGAATTCTTTATGCTTACCTAAAGTGATTGGATATTTAAAAGAACCAAGGTATAATTAACAAAAAATTCATCCTTCTAAATTATTTGCATAATAAGCACCCAAATTAATTCATCTTGAAGCAATGGAGACACTTTCTGATAAATTAAAAATCATACATGTTTGCCCTCTAAAGCTGACAGCAAAGTAGCTGATATGGTTTGGAAAATTCCAGAAAAATTCCTGTGCCCCAAAATAACTTATTCTCTTGTTACCAAATTATCTGAAATCTCACTACTTAATGGATTCTTTTTGGTTAAACATGGTATTAACCCTATGATTTTTTAAAGTTTTTAACATGGTATAATGGAAATTTTCAAATGCATACAGAATTAGAGAGAATGGTACAAGGGACCGCTATATACTCATCACCCAGCTTCACTAACCATCAACTCAAAGCCAACTTCTGTCATCTCTGCTCCTACCAGTACCCAATTCATCCCCTTCTCCCAACTAAATATTTTGAAAGAAAATTTTCATGTCATTTTATTTTAAAATATTTCAGTAAATAAAAATTTTATGGGAGGAGGAACACACTGTAGCTAATCTTAAAGATGAATTTTTTAAAAAACTGAAACTTAGGGCAACAAGAATGGTCACAATGTTTAAAGGGATCAATTGCAGAAGAGAAGGACACAAGGAATGGCAAAGACACAGTTTCAACCATTTACTTTTCAATAGTTCTATTAAAAATATTTTTATTTAGAAAGTATGGATACATAATAGCTTTTTGATATGCATGTGTATGAGGAGGGAAAAACAACATGAGTAAATCTGCTTCCCCAGAGAAATGTTAATTGTTTTATTCCAATGAAATCACAGCAGGTACACCTTACAAAGTTTCAGTTTTAAGGATCCACCCATCCTTGCATGATTAGCTTTTCTCCTATCTACTGTATAATTTAAAGCAATATCCATATATGTGGCAAAATCTTTTTATCTCTTATTTTTCACTCTCCTTTTGCTATAAGTCCTTGAAAGAGTTGTCCATAACTCTTGTCTCCGATTCTTCTCCTCATCTTCTCTTTGAATCCATTGTGAGCAGGCTTTCTTTATCACCTCTGCAGTCCACTTTCATAAGATCAGGGTAACCTCCACATTGCCATATCTGATGTCCAATTCTTAATCTCCATCCTGCTTGATGTATCATTTGTTGGTGACTTGACACTGTTGACCTTGCCCTCCTTGAAAATAGTTTTGTTGGCTTCTTGGACCCACGCTCTCTTGGTTTAAGCTCCTTCTCCACCTCTGATGTTGATTCTTCCTCATTTCTTAACCTCCAAATGTAGGAGTGGTTCAGAACTCACTTCTAAGAACTTCTCTGATCTAGTCTTGGGTCTTTTTTTTCTTTTTTTTTTTTTCTTGAGAAGGCTCACTGCAAGCTCCGCCTCCCGGGTTCAGGCCATTCTCCTGCCTCAGCCTCCCAAGTAGCTGGGACTGCAGGCGCCCGCCATGACACCCGGCAAATTTTTTGTATTTTTAGTAGAGACGGGGTTTCACCGTGTTAGCCAGGATGGTCTTGATCTCCTGACTTCGGGATCTGCCTGCCTCGGCCTCCCAAAGTGCTGGGATTACGGGCGTGAGACACCATGCCCGGCCCAGTCTTGGGTCTTAAATACCATTTCTACACTGACACCTCCAGAGTATTTATCTCTAATCCTGACCTGTTATCTGATCTCCAGAAGGTGCAGCAATTGTGTGAACCACGTCTCCACTACATGCCTAAAGGCAAAAACCCTAACGCATTCAAAACCAAACTCCATTTTCTTGTCCAGTCTTCATAATAACACTGTGAGAGGGGTCCCTATTTTTGAAGCAAAGAAACAGGAGCAGAGGGGATAAGTAACTTGCCCAATGTCACCTATCTAGTAAGTAGGAGAGATGGGATTTGAACGTAGTAGAGAAAGCCTGAATTATGCTTCATAATATGAGCTTCCTAAGCAGTCTTCATCATTTCAAACCTTTGTCCACCCTTTCTACTCAGAACTTTTCCCTAGCTCCCCCATTGTCTTCAGGCTCCTCATACAACTTCCTCCCAGCGTTGCTATGGACACACCCACGTGTGACCTCCTTGAGGGGAGAAGCTGCTTATATTTTTGTGTGTCCAGTGCTTGGTACACAGTAGGTCTTCACAAAGTATCTGGGGTAAATGACCCCATGGATAACTTGAGGATAATAGTGAGCAATCTAAAATTGGGCAGCTAAGCAAATTCTCCCTAATCAGTTCTAAGCCTCACTAGAATTTGAACTTAGAGAAATAAAGTTTTCTTTTAAAAGTGGGTTACACCATAAAGGAC